AGGCAAAAATACCTACTCCATCCGTATTCCAGGGAAGGTGGGCAGGAAGGAGGAGGAGTGAAGGACTGAGGGTGGTAGGGAGAGACCTGGAAATAGTGCCGAGAGCAAGCGTGCTTTGGAATTGGTAGGGGCACGTGTCCAGGAAAAGCACTTTGAGGAAATGAGATTAAAACCAGTCAGATTTTGCAGTTAGAAATCACACTGGGACTTGGAATTCTCAGGAGATTGGCAACTTAATGACTATGGAAAGAATGAAATCCATATTTCTCCAAAACTCACTACAAGTCAAATTCAGCCAGGAAAACCAAAGTGACAGGGTGCTGCTTCAGCATTTCTGTTCACTCTTAGCAAAATGGGAATCCTACCAGAAAGTTTTAGGTATGATTGATGAGAATGGGGTAAGCATTTGCTATAAATTACCGTAGGTCTGTTGTAGCAAAATGCTTTGTGTGGCTATGTGGCTGCAATTTGGACACTTTGACCTGATGGGAGCCCACTCTGTGCCCATCCCTGCCTTCACTTTTCATAGTTTTAGTTACCCACAGTCAACCATGTTCTGAAAATACCAATTGCATTTAGTCTTTCATTTTTCTATCAACTAATATCCATACTCACATAAAATACGTTTGAAGTACATTATGGAATGGCTGAGTTTATCAAATGAATACACACGTTACCTCACATAGTTGCTTTTGTGGTGAGAATACATGATCCTCTCTGAACTTTCTGAAGGCTGTAATATATTAATGACAGTTGTCACACTGTCTGATAGATCTCCTGAACTGACGGCCCCTGTTAAACTGCAGCATTGTTTGTTTGTTTGTTTGTTTGTTTGTTTTTCCCAAACCTCTTATTCCATTTTCTCCCACCCTTAGTAATCACTGTTACGCTCTCTTTCTGAGAACAAGTTTTTTGGATTGCACATACAAATGAGATCATTGGGAATTGTTTGTCTTTCTATGCCTGGCTTTCTTCACTTAACATAATTGTTGTGTAGTTTTATCGACAATCTGTGCTTTCACAAATGGCAAGATGTCCTTTATGTTTTTTCTTAACATCGTGTTGTGTATACATAAAAGGTTTCCCTATTCGTTCATCTGTTGATGAACACTGAGGATTACATAGTTGAGAATAATGCTGAGAGAAACCTGGGAGTTCAGATAGCTGTTCTACATACGGTTAGATTTCCTTTGGATGCATACTCAGTAGTGGAATTGCTGAATCATTTAGTAGTTCTTTAAATTTATAGTTTCCCGGGCGGGCGCCATGGCTCACTAGGCTAATCCTCCGCCTTGCGGCGCCGGCACACCGGGTTCTAGTCCTGGTCGGGGTGCCGGATTCTGTCCCGGTTGCCCCTCTTCCAGGCCAGCTCTCTGCTGTGGCCCAAGAAGGCAGTGGAGGATGGCCCAAGTGCTTGGGCCCTGCACCCCATGGGAGACCAGGAGAAGCACCTGGCTCCTACCATCGGATCAGTGTGGTGCACCGGCCGCAGCGGCCACTGGAGTGTGAACCAACGCCAAAGAGAGACCTTTCTTTCTGTCTCTCTCTCTCACTGTCCACTCTGCCTGTCAAAAAAAAAAAAAATTATAGTTTCCCATAATAGCTAAATTACTTTAAATTTGCAGCAACTGTGTGTAAGAGTTGATTTTTTTTCTCCACACTCAACACTTGCCTTTCATTCTTTTCCTAGTAGCCATTCTAACAGGTTAGAGATGAATGGTGGTACTAATTTGCATTTCTCTGATGATTAGTGAGGTTGAGTAGTTTTATAAACTGGCTGTCCATTTGTAGGTGTTCTTTTGAGAACAGGTCCTTTGGCTGTTTTTTAATTATGTTATATGTTTCGAATAGGAACCTCTTTTCAGATGTTTCATTCTGTTGGTCATTGCCTTACCTGTGTGGAAGCTTTTTAGTTAGATGTAATCCTGTTTGTCTGCTTTTGCTTTTGATGCTTGTATTTTAGGGTCATATTCAAAGAATCATTACCCCACCAGCGTTATGGGGCGGAGCTTTCCATCTCTGTTTTCTTCTCCTTGTTTCATAGTTTCACATCTTAAAGTCTTCAGTCCATTTAGATTAGATTCCATTTGGCATCAGATAAGGGTCTGATTGCATTCTTCTGACTGTGTCTATCCAGTTTTCCAGACAACATCATTAGTGTCTGTTCTCTCCCCAAGAGTTTTCTTGTCACCTTTGTTAATCACTTGGCCGTAAATGTGTAGATTAGGTTTTGGTCTCTATTTTGCATCATTGGTCCATATGTCTATTTTTATACCAGGAAAATGTTTCGGTTTACTACAGCCTTATTGTATAATTTGAAGCTAGGTAATCTGATATCACTACCTATTACTTTTGCTTGGTTTCCTTGATTATTCAGGGTATTTTGTATTTCTGTATGGATTTTAGATTTTTTATATTTCTGGAGAAGATCATTTATTTTTTTGGTAAGAATTGCATCTGTTCTTGCTTTTGGTAGTATGAACATTTTAAAAACATGAATTTTTTATTTTTAAAGATTGATTTATTTGAACAGAAGATTTGATGGTTTAACCTGCTTTGCCACAGTGCCGACCCCAATAATATATTTCACCAACAATTTATGGTTCTATATCATGTTTCTCCATAAATAGGGATACACAATTAATCACTTAGTAACAGGAAGAAGCCTTATAATTTTTCCCTGAAATTTGAAGAGCAATAAGGAAAGCAAGTTAGAAGATCAAATGGATGACTTTCTGCTCTTTGAAGAAAATTACGAGTGATGGGTGTGGCACTGTAGCACAGCAGGTAAAGCCACCACCTGCAGTTCCAGCATCCCTTAAGGGTGCAGGTTCACTTCTCAGCTGCTCTGCTTTGGATCAGGCTCCATACTGGTGTACCTGGGCAACCGGCAGGAGATGGTCCAAGTGCTTCTGGGCCACTGCCACCTGTGTGGGAGACCCAGAGGGGGCTTCTGGCTCCTGGCTTCAGCCTTGGCTGTTGAAACCATTTGGGGAGTGAACCATTGGATGAAAGATCGCTCTCCCTCTGGTGCTCTTTCTCTGTAACTCTGCCTTTTAAGTAAGTAAATGAATCTTAAAAAGTGAAGAGTGATGGTATATCATATCTTAGTAGGAATTTCAAGAGATTATAACAGTCTTCAGTGATAGGGTTGCAGGAGCTGTGGTCCCCAAAATATGCCTTTAATCCAACTGTTTGCCTTTATTTGGCGGCTGAGGAAGAGATGAACTAATTGGGTAATGTTAGATGTTTGTAAACTGATCGAGTGGTAAAAACACAGCTGCTATGGTTTATCTTAGATGTTTACTGAAACAAACCAAGAGATTCTCGGATGTTTGAAATGTGCTACTTCATTGTTCAATGTGTTGTTTCTAATTCCCATAAGGAGGATCAACTCCAGTATACATTTATGTGGGAAGAGAAACAGGATGCATTTTTCTGTGTTGGGCTATGCTGATTCTTCATAATTTCTGTTATGTCAAAGTTGGCAGAGATTTTTTTATCATCTTGCTATACTATAGATGATCGTGCCTGCAAACTATACAGATGGCGTTGAACCTAGGGAGCACATGGCAAGTGCTAGAGAAGTATCTTCTAAGCACTATAAAGGCTCCTGCATTCCAGAGGGAGGGCGACAAACACCATGAAGGTTCAGGGTCCAGTAGGATCAGTGATACCTGTGACGTGGCAGATCAGCTGTCCTTTCTCCTTACCACTAATAAAGTAACAGCACACACTGCCCTTCAGATAATGCTAGTTCCATTTATTATAAAACTGAGAAGGCTGCCAATTAAGACTGGAGTCTACAGCTCTAGGTTAAATCCTAGAATATCATGCCAGAGGTTTCCAGTTGGTACAGACATCCACAATTCTGTAGCAAGGTCTTTCCTTCCACAATAGAGAACTACTCCAAAAGCAGTTATTGATACATCGTTGGGCTTTGGTAAATCCTGAGTGCCTGACCCTAAAATACCAAATTACTAAACAGCTACAACTTCTTATCTTCTGATTGTGTTTTGGTCCAAAAGTCAATGAATCATAGCACAGATGAGCATAGCTGCAAACCATCACAGGGTGGAAATGGGCTATCTAATAGCACACCGGAGCAAATTTAAATACCTATCAACAAATAGCATCAACACAGGGCTCGTGACATGTGCTTTGGCTACATCGATTCCTACCCATCAGTTTCAACTCTAGTCTCATGAGTAGAGTGACTTTGTAGTTTATATTCCAAATTGTGATATATTTGAGAATGAAATTGGATGTTATTATTAATAATCATACATATACTGAAATTACAACATGTAAATGGGTATAAACGTACTTCATTTCTGGGTGATGGACATTCAGTGAGCATCTAAAAGAGAAACACAGTTGAGTCTTTGTCAAGTGAGTCAAAATTTAACATCTTATTGGTGCTATCCATAATTGAACTCTAATACCACTTAGGCCATTATTCAAAGACGTTTCCTTGAGAAACAAAGCTATGTCCCCAGTAATTTGAAGTTGACTTTGCGTATATGAAGAAGTGGATTGCTATAAATGAACAATGGCTTGACTGGCTGATAAAAAGCTTTGAAAGGGGAAAATAGGAAGTTCATAGACAAATGGATTTTTGCTTTTTTGTTATGGCCCAGTGAAAGCCTACCATTCAGATAATTCATCAATAAGTTTGTCCATAGAATGGCTTGTTCTGTTAGACTACAAAGAAAATGCTATTTAATAAACATACTGTGTTTTCACTACAACAAAGCAAAACAAGTATGGAAGAAAAATATTTAAATGACTAAACATAAACTTTCATCTTAAATCCTGAATTTATAATTCTGCGAGTTTTCACTACTTAAATAACCACTGTTTTAATACGCATAGAATAGAAAACTTTGAGCATTGAAATTATGTGCATTATGGATGGTTGTTTATATTCAAAGAATTATTTAGTTCACCAAAAGATGTGCCAGACAAAATTAGCATAAGGAGTTCTTCAGAAGGTTGATCTCCTAAATTTTATTCAACAGTTTCCTAAATTATTTTCCAATGGTTACTATATGAATGGCCTAAAACTCCATTGGCTGTTAGTTCCAGACTTGAAATTCTTTTGTCATACTGTATGGTATTATAATAACTTAAAAATTAAAGCCTTAGAAAATTGGGAATAAACAAAATTGTAAATACTTGCTGATTTGTGCCACCTCAAAGGGAAATAACATTTAAAGGTTATCTAGGGGCCGGTGTCATGGCACACGAGGTTAATCCTCTGCTGGCGTTGCCGGCATCCCATGTGGGCACCGGGTTATATTCCCGGTTGCTCCTTTTCTAGGCCAGCTCTCTGCTGTGGCCTATGAGGGCAGTGGAGGATGACCCAGGTCCTTGTGCCCCTGCACCTTCGTGGGGGACCCACGGGAGGCTCCTGGCTTCAGATTGGTGTAGCTCCGGCCGTTGCAGCCATTTGGGCGATGAACCATCAGATGGAGGACCTTTCTCTCTGTCTCTCTCACTGTCTGTGACTCTACCTGTCAAGTAAATAAATAAAAAAAAATCTTTAAAGATTATCTACCACCCAGACATCACCACATTTGGTTTATGACTAGTGTTTTTTTTTTTATCACCATTTGTCTTTTACCATATGTTCACTATTGAATCCCAAATAAACATTTCAACTTTCACTTCTCATCTTTAGATTTCAGTGGCGCAGCACTGATCACTAAAGGATGCCCGCTCTGCCTGCTTTTTCTCCCTGAGCTGCTGTGCGCAGGAGGATGGCCGGTTATTAGAGAAAAGGGGACTGGGAGGCTTTAGTCACTGTGTACATAGGGAAGATTCTTCAGTCAGAGAATGAGTTGGATTCTAGAGTGTGGTTGGCATTCTGTCAGAGGAAAAAATAATACTGTAGGAGAATTGAACCCTGGCCAACTTAGTAAGAACATAAATCCTAACTCCTGTTCACTCCGTTTTCAAAAATTATGGTTGTGTGTTACTAGGTTCAAATAGGTTTGAATTTTAGAATTGATATCTTCTTGGGAAATGGATCTTTTAGCACAGTGATATGACCTTGTTTACCTTAAATAATACTTGTATTCCTTCATGTCTCCTAATTCATCAAATGTTAATGTGACTCTGTTTTGATGAAGATTTGGACAATAAAATTCATTCCAACATTTTTCTTTCAACCTTCTATTTAAAATGTGTTTCCTTGTAAGAAAATTAAAGTTAACTTTTGAAAAATCAAGAATAAAAATCTTAGACTTATTTGTATTCTGTCTTTCAAGTTGCAGGATTTTGATTGTTCTTGAGTTTTGAAATGATAAAAAAAATTCTTTTGTTCCATGTTACTAACTATGGGAAATTATATTCTCTGCTCCTCCAACATAAGTGGTTCCTCCTTCATCTTAAACTAAATCAAAATAAAAAATCAGAGGCAATAAAAGACAATGTTGACTTCATGCCCTTACCTCTATTAATTTAAGATTGTTGTGCATTTTTTGTCTTTTCCTAAAGAAGATAGGGGAGTCTCCAAAAATGTAATGCAAGATATACATTATTTAAAAACTATACATAGATTTTAAACAACTATTTCACCAAAATAAACATCATTTAATGTCATTTTTTGTGCTAACTGTTTGAAGGACCCATGTGTTTTTAGGATTGTTGTTATTTTACATTGTCAATGCTAGCTTCAATCTTAAATTTTAATTAAGTATACTTTTTATATGAATAATAGCATTGCAAATCTTTTCCTCTGTTTCTGTCTTGTCATTTCATCTTCTCATAGTTACTTTTGAAAAGAAAGAGTATTTTGTCTTTTACGGTTCATACTCATCTGAAAAATAAACTTTACTGCAAGTTTGTGAAATGTTCCCCTATGCTTTCCTTTAGTTTTTTTTTTTTAACTTTTAAAACTATTTATTGATTTGAGAGGCAACATTACAGGCAGAGGCAGAGACAGAGAAGAAGGCCTTCCATCCATTGGTTCACTTCCCAAATGGCTGCGATGGCCAGAGCTGGTCTGATCCAAAGCCATGATCCAGGAGCTTCTCTGGGTCTCCCAAGCAGGTGCAGGAATCTAAGCACTTGAGCCATCTTCTACAACTTTTGTGGGCCATAAGTAGAGAGCTGGATCAGAAAAGGAGGAGCCAAAGGTACGAACCAGTGCCCGTATGGAATGTTGGCACTGCAGGTAGAGGCTTAGCCTATTATGCCACAGTGCTGGCCCCAGTTTTTTCTTTAAGAAAATTAATGTTAATCTATGATACATTTAAGGTGGACTTTTTAGTCTGGGGTACTGTAAGGGTCAAAGTAACTATTTTTCTGCATAAAAATGTCCAGTTCTTCCAGTGACATTTGTTGGGAGTATGTTCCTTAATACATTGGATTATCTACCACATAGAGTAAGAAATCTATTTATCATGTATGTAAGACTTCCTGAGGTTCTGATTTTCTTAAATTGATCTGTGTGATTATGTTTACACAGTGTTGGATTACCATTGCATTATTGTTAGTTTCATTAATTTTCATGTTGCTTGATTGAGAGGGAGGGTAGAGAATGGAGGGAAAGAGGGAGAAAAAGGCCGGCACCGCGGCTCACTAGGCTAATCCTCTGCCTAGTGGCGGTGGCACACAGGGTTCTAGTCCTGGTCAGGGCACCAGATTCTGTCCCGGTTGCCCCTCTTCCAGGCCAGCTCTCTGCTGTGGCCCGGGAGTGCAGTGGAGGATGGCCCAGGTCCTTGGGCCCTGCACCCCATGGGAGACCAGGAGAAGCACCTGGCTCCTGGCTTCAGATCAGCGTGGTATGCTGGCCGCGGCGGCCATTGGAGGGTGAACCAACAGCAAAAGGAAGATCTTTCTCTCTCTCTCTCTCACTGTCCACTCTGCCTGTCAAAAATAAATAAATAAATAAATAAATAAAAATAAAAACAAAAGAGGGAGAAAAAGAGAGATTGAGATCTTCAGTCCATGATTTCACTCTCTCAATGCCTAGAACAGCCAGGGCTGGGCCAGATTGAACCCAGGAGCCATGAGTTCTGTCTGCATCTTCCCTGTGGGTGGCAGGGACCTGGGGCTTCCCAGGATGCATGGTGGTGGAAGGTGGATCAGAAGATGAGGAGCCAGGACTTAAACCAGGTGCTCTGATGTGGGATACGTGTCAGCCAAGAGGCATCTTGCTCTGCTGTGCCAAACATCTGCTCTCCCATTATTGTGAGTCTTGAAATGAAATCCCATAATTCTTACAACCTTCCTATTCCGTAAAAACTTGTTTAAGCTGTTTTATGTCCTTTGCATTTACATGTAAGTTTAGGAATCAGTTTTATATATGAAATAATGTGTCCGGATTTGGGGGTGTTTCTAAATTTATGGGTGGAATAGAAGAAAAGTGATGCCTAGTAATATTCATTCTAAACTGAACATGGTATCCTTCTCGAATTAGATTGTTTTTCATATCACTGCAGGATTTGATACATCAAGCCATAATGTGTTTTTTATATTATTTTGTTAAATTTACCCTGTATACTTTACATTTTTTGTGCTGTCATGGGTGATGTTTTACATTTTGAGTTCATTTACGCTTTAAATTAGGTCTTTTTATGTTATGTTTGAAATGGTTCTAGTTCTCTGTATTTCTTTGGTTTCTATTCTGTTGTATCTATTTTGTCCTGCCTGTTTGGCCTTTCACCAACTAGACAATCATGATTATAGCTTTCAGTTGTAAAATAAAAAAATGAATATATGCTGCAAAAAGCAATATTGGAAAGCATTTTTTGATAATTTAGTTCATTTGAATTTTTGTGTTTGGATTTATAATAATCTTAGTGTTTAGAAAAAAATCTTGCTCAGATTTTAACTGGTGTTGTTTGGGATCTATTCAGTAATTCAGGAAGCAATGACCTCTTAAAATAATTAATTTCCTTTTAAAAAGATTTATCTTTTTATTTATTTGCCACAGTGCAGGCCCCTCTTTTGTGATTTCTAAATAATTTTAAAGAGAATGATGATAATGCTTCTCCAAATTTTGGTAGAATTTAGCAGTGAGTCTCCCTAGTACTGGGATTTTCTTTGAGAGACTTTATTTCTGACTCAATTCCCCTATTCATTATTAGTCTGTTTAGGTGCTCTGTTTCTTCTGATTTAATCTTGATAAGGTGTAGGAATCCAGGAATTTGTCTGTCTTCTAATTTATCAAATGTGTTACCATATAATTTTCCATAAAAAGGTATAAAACTCCTTCGTATTTCTGTGATGTCAATCACAATATCTTTATCTCTGATTTTATATTTCAGTCTTTTTGTTCTTTTTATTCTTGCTAAGGGTTAGCCATTTTGTTTACCTTTTCAAAGAACTTGTTCTTTGTCATTGATACTTGTATTCTTTGGTTCTACGCAGTTTATTTCTGAGTTTTATTTCTTGTCTTGACTAATTTTGAGTTCTATTTGTTCTTCGTTTTCAAATTGCTTAAGTCTAGCCATAAGTTGCTTGTTGGAAATCTTTCTGCCTTCTTGATATTAAGCTTTGATTGGTGTAGACCTGTCTTGTAGAACTGCTTTTGCTGTATTCCGTAAGTGTGGGTATGGGAGTGACTTTATTTCAGAATGAAGTATATCCTTGTATTCCCTCCTGGTCTGGATGGTTTCTGTTGAAAAACTGGCTGCTCATTTGATGGGTATCTCCCTTAAAGTGAGTTGGTGCTTTAGTGTTAAAAATCTTAGCACTGCATCTTGCGAGTTGAACTTGTCACAGTGAGGATCTTTCTGGTCATGCCAACCTGGGTTCCTGTAGGAGTCCCGTACTTCAGTGTCCGTATGTCTCCAGATTGGGAAGTTTTCACCTATTACATAAAGAAAGGTTTTCTGAAGCCTCTATACCTCTTTTGACCTTCACAGCACCCCACAGTTTGAATAATGGTAAATTTAATGATGTCCCCAAGTTCTCACAGGCTTTCTTCATTATTTTTAATTTACGTGTTTACTTGCTGGGTCAGAGGGTTCAGAATGTATGTCTCCAGGTTGAGGCACTCTTTCTTCATCTTGTTCTGCTGTCGTGGGGGCTTTCAACTGTGTAGCAAGATTTATGTTTGATCCTTTTCCAAGATTTGTATCTATTTGCTGATTTTATCATTGATATCATGCATTATTTTTCTGATTTCTTTGAATTGCCTGTAAGGTTTTGTGCCTCTTTAAGCACCCTGATAATCACTTTTTTTAAAAAGAGTTATGTATTTATTTCAAAGTTGGAGTCCCACACGGTGAGCTAAGAGACAGACAGATCTTATATTCCTGGTTCACTCTCCAACTTGCCAGGCTGAACCAGGGACTGCATCCAGGTTTCCCATGTGGTTGACAGGGACCCAGGCACTTGGGGCATCTTATGCTGCTTTTCCCAGCCCATTAGCAGAGAGCTGGATCAGAAGTGGAGCAGCTAGAACACAAACTGGCACCCATATGGATGCCAGGTCAGGAAGCAGCAACTTGACCCAGCGCGGCACATGCAAGATCCTCTTGGGAATTCTTTGTCAGGCATTTCGTCAATCTTCTTTTCTACGGAATCTGTTGCTAAAGCATTATTCTGTCCTGGGGGCACATGATACTCCCTTTTTAATACTTTGTTTCTCTGCTTTGACATTTGCACACCCAATAGATTAGGTTTTTCTGTCACTTTTTGTTTTCAGATGTGTGTGTGTTTGGTTATGTGAATGGCAAAGTGACAGAAACAGGGAGAGTGTCCATCTGGGAGTTCATTTCCCAAATGGTTGCAACCCCTAGGGCTGGGCAGGGTCCAAGTTGGGAGCCAAGAACTACATCTGGGTCTCCCATGTGGGTGGAAGAGGCCCAAGTACTTTGGATAATCATCTTCTGCCTTCCCAGGTGCATGTCAAGAATGCTGGATCCAAGTAGAGCAGCTGGGACTCAGACTGGTCCTCCAACACACACAATGCCAGCCCTACCTGTTATTGACCATATTCACCATGCTGCGCAACAAAATCCAATTGTGAAAAAATGCATTCTTCCTGACTAACTAGACCTCGTGTCCTTTTACCAGCCTAGCGTCTTCTGACAATGTTAAATTGGTATTTATTTTGGGTAAATAAAATGAATGAGAATCTGATATATTCAGGGAACATTGTTATATGTCACAGATGCTCAAATTTTTATATTTACTTTTGTAAATTTTACTTTTGTATAATTTTAAAATAACTGCCTAGTCTTTCTTCCTTTAAAATTTTTTGTTTTTCTTGTTTTATTAATTTGATCTAGCCACACATGCATTCTTCATGATGAAGAATCAAAACATCAGTGCATGGATTTTCCTCATGGAGAGAGGAAATAGCACTGCACCCTGGGCAGGTTCACTTTCCCACAGCGCTGACTCCTTCAGCCTTCCCTGTGCCCACAGGAACTACTACTCTATTTGATGTTTATGTATTTTTGCAATTGGGTGCTGGTTAATCACAGTAGATCCAGTTCTGGAAACTTAAGAGGTCCATGGCGGGAAGTTTGCAGCACCAGACTTCCGTGGTTCTCTTTGGAATTAGGAGAATTTGGAGCCTGTGATGTTCCTGTGTGCCCACGTTATCAGTCTGAGGCAAAAGAGCCTCGACTTAATTGATCATAAGCTTTACAGTGTTTCTGGGATTATGGGCTGAAGTTTTGGTCCTTGTGGTACAGATAGGATAACACCTGACGTTCAATTTTATGAAAATGAGTTCATTCCAACCACGTTTCTCTATGTTGGCATGAAGCCCAGGCTCATGCGGGATCACAGCTGGCATCCACAGAGATCCTGTGAACCACTGTCTACCAGCTCCTTGCTGGATTTGAGCTTTTCTTTCATTTCTGGCACGAAGACATCTTCTTAGCTTCAAGCTTGGCTAGGCATTATGTTTCATTCTGGACAATGTGTTATCTGTGGATCTCTCCATGTCTTAGTCTGGAGTTTTATTACCCTTCCATAATGCCATGAAGTTCTGAGTTTCCGAACAGGAGATGAAAAACAACGATAATGGCCTTTTTGTTTTTTCTCGAAGTTTTTCATTGGTCCGTCTTCTCTGGATGTTTGGAAAATAAACTATCAGAAGAAAGATTAAAATTATATAGACAGAAAGTGGGATACTCAGTAGATGATGGCACAGTTAAGGCATTTCTGAATTATCATTCCATTTCTAACATCAATTAAAATGGCATAAAAATAAAAAAAGAAAACTTCCATCTACGCTGACACTAGCAGATTGGAAAATCCAATGCTTTAACTACAAAGAATTATCCAAGCAATGTGATAGTATGACAAAGCGAAGATGCATACAGAAGCTGCCTGCCTGTGGATGCATCTTGAGATGCTGGGTCCTCTGTGACTGGAAGAACCTCTTCATCAGACTCAGCTCGAACAGGTCAGAAGACTTACCCAGGGGCTCGCGCAGTCCTTTCTGGATTTCATGTGACTCTGTGCCCTGCAAATCCAGAGATTTCCCTTCACTGGGACCTCCGTGATGCCCGCCTGGCCCCTTGCCCTGCTTTGCACCACAGACTCCTCTTTGTCCCAGCATCCTGATGTCTGTGATTGACCTTCTGCGCTCGAGGCGAAGGAGCACTGTTTTGAGGGTTCTGTGGCAATCACCCCAACCAGTTTTGGGGGGGGTGGTTCTGTGCAAGCAGAGCCCCATGCTTTGCCTTGGTAAACTACACATGTTTAAGCAAATCCATGTATCATCCTCAGAGGTGAAATGTTTCTATCAAAGTCCCTTTTATTTTTCATGTTGTGTATTATTCTGATATTCAATACATTTTATATAAAAGTTCCAACAATGGGGAAGGTAAAGCAATGTTACTTTGGTTTGCAGAAGATGTGATTGTGGTTTTAGAAACTTAGAAAAAAAATCCAGTGGAAAAAATGTATTAAGACTAAGAAAAAATTTACAGTAATCTTGGTGACAAAATCACGAGGTTTCTTTGATATTAACTGTTACTCATTAGATAATAGAGAAAAGCTCTATTTTCCAGAGCAACAAAATAGTAAAATACTGAGGTATAAATTTAGCAAGTTAGCAGGACTTACACGGTGAAATGTTTAAAATATAGGATGAGATTGAAAAAATAGAACAAGTTAATTGTTTATATTAAATTTCATGGAATATGAAAATACTGTGCATGAATTTAAGAATTTTTCTTGGGGCGGGCACCCGTGGCGCAGCAGGTTAATGTCCTGGCCTGGGATGCCGGCACCCATGTCAGTGCCAGTTTGAGACCTGGCTGCTCTACTTCCAATCCAGCTCTCTGCTAAGGCCTGGGAAAGCAGTAGAAGATGGCCCAAGTCCTTGGGCCCCTGCACCCACGTGGGAGACTTGGAAGCACCTGGCTCCTGCTTTTGGAGCTGCACAACTCCAGCTGTTGTAGTCATTTGGGGAGTGAACCAGTGGATGGAAGACCTCTCTGTCTCTGCCTCTCCTCTCTGTGTAACTCTTTCAAATAAATAAATCTTAAAAAAAATTTTTTTGCTGTACAAAAATAAACTTTTAATTATTTTTGAACTTCTCTTGTATAAGTTCCATATTATTAAAATAGGAAAAATTTAAAAATTTTTCAAGTTTTATTTAAGTTATACACGTTTCATGTATTTCATATATACAGATTTAGGAATATGGTGACACTTCTCCTCTACCCTCCATCCTGCCCATTTCTAACCCTTCCTCTCCCCCTGCCTCCATTGGATTCCCACTCTTAATTTTTACAATGATCTGTTTTCAGTATATTTAATGATTGTACAGTTACTCCTATTTTAAGTAAAGGAATTCAACAAAAAGTATGAAGAGAAAGAAAACAAAACACTGTTCCTCATTGGAAGAGACAAGGGCTATAAACAATCATCGATTATCAAAATGCCTGTTTCACTTGAATACATTACATATCAGGTATTCTATTATTACCTTGAATCGGGGAAAACATATGATATTTGTCTTTTTGGGACTGACTTAGTATTCCACAGAGTATGTACCATAATTTCTTTATCCACCAAACACTTGATGGACATCTGGGTTAATTCCCTATTAGCTATTGTGCATTGTGCTGCAATGAACATGGGGGTACAAATAACTCTTTGAGTTGCTGCTATCTTTTGGTTCTGGGGGAGAAAGTACCCTGGTACTCTGTTGGTGGGAATGTAAACTGGTGCAACCTCTGTTGGACCCTAATCAAAGAAATGTGATCTTGTAGCACCTGCTCAGTGTCCTTGGAAGTAGCTGCAGATGGTGACCAAAGTGAGGATAAATTCACATATGACAGTATCTGCTTCACTGTATCAGTCATGTGATCCCATCACAAAATCTGTTAATACAAATGGCAGTTAGGCAAAACCACCTTCCATCTATGTGGCTTGAACGTGATAAGCTATCTCATTTCATTTTAGGTTATTTGTATGTAAGAACAAAGGACATGATAGATACCTGAAATCAATTTCTCAAGGCATTTTTATATAATCTTGCAATCATAATATAGGCATATAATAAAAGAATATGAGAATTCAAGGATGAATATAAAGCCAGTGTCTGGGCATTGAAAATAAAAGCTCTTCAAAGTTAGAAGTGTTCTATAAATAGGATTCCTGAAAAAAATTGGGAAAAATGGAAGCTTCATTAAATATAATACCAAAGGGCATGTCACTTAAGCAATTATATATTAATTAAATCTTTATATTCCTATGAGCTAAGACTTAATGCATTTTACAATCAAATTGAAATAATTTGGCACCATTATAGATTGAAGGATTAGTGAAATAGTTGATGTACAAAAGTGGTCCTGGACTTGGGTTTGCTGGTATGAGACTTAAATCTGCTGATTAAATATACTGATAGTGAATATGCATTCAAAACACGAAATAGAAAAGGGGTGTGCTTTAGCTACCAGTTAATGTACTAGTAATATCAAAACAAGTTACCTTGAAAACGTTGCATCTCCTGACCAGATCAGAAATTTGATATTTTAGTGCAGTCTGCTAAACATGAGCTCTGAGCAACAGGAAAGTCTTATTGAACTGTATTTCTTCTAGAATATATATTCAGATAGCCCTGTAAAGTGAGTTATTACATTGTTGATAATAAAGAATAAAAACAATTCCAGGGTTAATTTTAGGTCAATAAATAAAAGGATATCCAATGAGTATGACATTATCTTGCTGCTTAAGTGAGGCAGATGTTTCTGTGTTAACAGAAATATCTAAAATAGTATGAGAAAAAATAACTCAAAATAGTAAACGTGTATATATGCACAGTATGCTTGTGTTCCTTTCTGGAGAAAACAAACCATATATTGGTAAACTTCTGTGCCACATGTGTGCATATGTGGGTGTGTATATGTAGCACATACATGTAATAAAAGAATACATAGTAACAGCGTTAACTTTCAGTTATAATACTAGCTTTAAAAAAGGTGCTATGACCCTTGTACTTATAGGTAAAAGTGAAGTTGGTAAGTGAATTTGATATTATCAATACCTAAGGCAAAAAAATCTTGGGTATCTGACACATAATTAATCAGAGAAGGCCTTTTGTGTTTCTGTTTGTTCTCTTCACTGTAAACTTCACAGTAATCAGACTGTCTGTGATTTGACATCTAGACACATACTTACTGTTTGTCCTCATGATTTTGTCAAGATAGTTTGTGCAACCTTGAATCTCAGCTCTCAAAGAAGATATGACGTACCTCGAGAGCTCATTGTTATGAGTAGGTGCTGGAGTGAAAACAGCTGTTCTCTTTATAGGAAGCAGACGAAGGTTTGGTTTTTAGACTGGGCCTGTTGTGAAATGTGCTCTCTGGTGTCCAAGTGGGTGCCAAATGAGTCACCTTCTCCTAAGCAAGACTCTTAGGACCTGATTATGCCCCAGATTTTTCTAAAACGAGAAAGCACAACTGATACTAAGTCACTGCGGGAAAATGATTTCTTTCTCTTATGGAATTTCAGCTGTCCGTTACTTAAGATATCTGAAGGTATTAGCAATCTGTTCTTTCCACCTCCTTATGTGCTCCCAATGGTAGAACATTTCTTCTCTATTACGATATTAGATAAAATCGTATTTGTCAAGTTGGAGCATGAGAACCCTAAACGTTCTTTCTGTGCCCGATTTTACTCTTTGGAAGGTCTGTTCTAATTTCTCTAAAGAGCGGTTGTTGCAGTTGTCCTGATTGTTGTGAATATGTGTTTCGTCACTGAGCATGTAACTGTTGGACGTGTGCTGTGTAACGGGCAGTCCTCTACGCATTTAGAATGCAGCACTAAATCAGGCAAGGATGCCGCTCTCTGGAAGCGTCCATTCTAGCATGATTATTTACAACCCTCCTCTTATTTATGGACTGGGACTCTTGTCATGACTGAAAGTTCTAAAAAAAATGATTTAGAAATAAACTTGGAAAAATAGTCATATGTTCTTCCAAATGTTAGTCTTCTATTTCTTAATTTTTATTTTTAGATAATATCCCTAAATCCAGTGGATTTGATTATATTTATGAAAAGTGAAGCATTTCTCACTGACGATCCCTAATAGAGTAATTCTTGGGGTTGGTGTTATGGCATGGTGGGTTAAGTCACTGTTTGCGACACTGGCATCCCATGTGGGCTGCAGTAAGTATCTTGACTATTCGACTTCCGATCCAGCTCCCTGCTAATGGCCTGGGAAAAGCAGCAGCAGGTGGCCCAAGTGTTTGGGATCCCCACCCAGGTGGGAGATCTGGATGAAGTTCCTGGCTTCTGCTTGTCCATCGCATTCATCTGGGGAGTGAATCAGCAAAAGGAAGCTTTCTCTTCTTCTGTCTCTCCCTCTATCTCTCTATTTCTGACTTTCAAGTAAATCTGTTTTAAAATTCTCACACTGGCAGTTTATTAAAATATGTTTTCAGGTTCAATGCATTTGGGTGAGACTCAAAGTTATTCTGCATTTCTAGGAAGCCCTTAGATTGTACTTATGCTGTGGGTCCAAGGGCCCCTGAGGAGTAAGACTCTATAGAACGAAGACAGGTGTTAAATGAGCTGCAGTCCTTGCTAGCACTCAATTATGAAACTCCTTAAGCCTTCATGTTGGCTTTGTTTTTCACAGGAAAAGTTGTCAAACTTGACTCAGCAGGACATCCAGATGTTAGGTACAAGGTACCTGCCACAGAGCAGGGACTAGGGTAAAGCTTACCGGCATTCACTGGTTTATTTAGCACGTGTGTGATATAGTAACTAGGAAGTGGGATAATATGTTAGTCAAGAGTTCAGGATTTAGAGCCAGAAAATTCCTTACGATACATGTAACATTAAGAAAACAAATTAATCTTAAGACTTTATCTGTATAGTGAAGGTGACTAGTATTACTGAAACTATGGGATTATTATGAAGATTAATAAAATGATACATATACAATATATAATTGCTGGCACACATGGTGTTTTGGGTAAGTGCCAGCATCATGCTATTATAAATTGCCAAGGGCTGTGGGATATAAAATAATGGAGACTTTGATCCTACAGTTCAGGATGATACAGTGTCTCAAGGGGATCAGATTTTTGTGTTAATAGTGAATTCAACTTGGCCAGATTGGTGGATGTTCGTAAAGAAAATCAAATCAAGTGCTGCTGCAGTTGGACAAGGGATTGGCTTCACTTTGGGATCATGACAGCTGCAGACCGACTGAAATCTCACTGTGTATTACTTAGTGTTGCAGTGTTCCCACATATGAACTCATTTAATCTCCAACATAGTCTGTTAGACTGAAAGTTTAATAGCGACTGTAAAGAGGAAGTGACTGCAATAGATGATTTTGCATCTGATTAGAATGCATGAGAGTATTGTGATGCCTCCAGCTTTGTTTTTGTTGTACAAGATTGCTTTAGCTATTCGAGGTCTCCTGTGTCTCCATATGAATTTCAGCATCATTTTTTCCAGATCTGAAAAGAAGGTCTTCGGTATCTTGATTGGTATTGCACTGAATGTATAAATTGCTTTTGGGAGAATGGACATTTTTGATGATATTGATTTTTTCCAAATCCATGAGCATGGAAGATTTTTCCATTT